TTTGTATCGAGGAGTTGCCCATACCGAAATTACAAAAAAATGGATTTTTATTTATATGGGTAATTAACAACAAATATTCCAAGGCTTTTGAAATGTTGAAAAAATGGGGGTATACGTATGTACAATTTTGGAAACTTTGATGATGGTGTGAAGTGGGCATATACGCGATAAAGACTTCATTGACGAAACATACGTTTTTGGCAGATGCATTTCACATGCTTCTGTTTTGATATCTCAATTTATAGCACTCTAAACTTCTTTTGAATTCTGCTATTAGATATTGTGATGATATTACATGGGTGAAACAAACTGTAAATAGAAGAATGGCTAAAGGACATGGTTTCTATTTACAACATGCAAAAGAAACTTGTTTAGTGGGAAGAAAAGTATAGTATTACCTATAATTTTTTGATATGTTTATTAATAAACGATGGTTTCGTTCTTTTCTTTTTTTTTAATTCATTAAATTGATTTATGCTAACTTGCCAATCATTAAACAGGGAAAGGATCCACCAGGATGTAAACATTCGATTTCTTCTGATGTAATATTTTCGGAAAGACGTGGACAAAGTCAAAAACCGGAAGAATTATACGGGATGATTGAGGAATTAGTTCCAAATGGTATGCATGCTTATGGGTTAACATTGAATGATATGATTGACATATATTTATTTCTTTTTATTATGAATGTTATTTCAGGAAACTACTTGGAAATATTTGGTAGGAAAAATAACTTACGTGATTATTGGGTAACTATTGGCAATGAATTATGAATCAACGGTAAGGATGGGATCGGCTTGGCTTTTTGAGCCAAGCCGAGCCGGCTCCTCGAGCTGATGGCTCAAGCCAGCTCAAGTAAGTTAGTTTAAGCTGGCATATTATTTACAGCCTTTTTCGAATTATTTTTCGGCTGATATAATAAAAACTATTTTTGTATTATTAATGATTGTTTGATAGATCGTTACAACAATAATATAAATGTTATCAAATTTTTTTCGTTTGAATGCTTGTCTGACATGTTTGTTTGATGTGTTTAATATGTGCGTTCTTGTCAACTAATAAATCTTGGCAAGAAATATAAAAGCGGTTCCAAATATAAAATAAATTTATAACATATTACACGAATAGGTGCTAATATTAAAAAGTTAAACATATCTTATATCGTTTGTGTTTAATAAACAGTTTTTCTAAAAGCGACGGAAGTTTTTCAATATATCCATATTATTGAAAGTGCATGAAAATCCGATTTTTTTAAACTGATAAACCTTCTAGATCTTTTTCCATTATTTTCCAGCGGAGATATTTGTTGTTAATTACCCATATAAATAAAAATCCATTTTTTTGTAATTTCGGTATGGGCAACTCCTCGATACAAA